CATTGAAAACCTTCAACTAATCCCTTATATAATCAACATTTCAATTCTATTACAGTTACACCTGCCTAGCAAAACGCTCACTTAATAGACAACCAATTCTGAACGCAATAGTTTTGGAATCTGTCATGCAGCATAAATTCTATAATATTTTATGTTAACATGTACTCTTAAATCTTTTCTTATTCCACATTGGACAGCCTTTGATAACTTTGAATGTACCAATAGTTTTATGCATATTTTAAGCACAAGTGTGCCTTTGCACAAACCCAAAGGTTGGCTTTTTCTTCCCAAAGTGTATCTTATCTTCACCAAAGGGGGAGAAATATAAAATATTTTTCCAACACTTTTGCCTCACAACTCTTACTTTAAATTACTCCAAACACTCGCCATGTCCTACCAGTATTAAATCTAATGCCCTCTACCCACACCTATAGCCTATTAGCCCTGAATGTTACGATATTTCAAGTGCTCATCCAAGTACTTTTTAAAGGTTGTGAGATTTCTTACCTCTATTGTCATGTACTGCAGTGCATTCCACATTCCCTCCAGCCTCTGGATGAAAAACATGTTCCTCAAATCCCCTCTAAAGCTCCTGCTCTTCACCTTTAAGTTATGGCTGCTTGTTACTGATCCCCTGACTAAGGGGGAACAGCTGCTTTTTATCCATCCTATCCACATCTATCATAACCTCATATAGGTCTATCAGGTCCCCCTCATCCTTTTCTGCACCAGTTGAAACAACCTGAGCCTATCCAGTCTTCCTTCATGGCTAAAATGCTCCATCCCAGGAAGCCTCCTGGTGAATCTCCGCTACATTCCCTCCCGTGCTATCACATTCTTCCTGTGGTGTGGCAACCAGAACTGTACATAGTGCAGTGCAAGATGAATCTTTGACCAAGTGTTTTTTTCAGTAATTGTCAAGTTTCCTATTTGTTTACTGTCAATCTTTTTTACCTTAACAAACATTGTATTTCTTTCTTTCTGAATGTTTCAATTGATAATTAAACAACTTCTTTATTCCATATATATACATATACACTCCAATGTCATATTTGTTTTCCATAAATTGATTTTATGGGGCAGCATGCCCAAAAATGTGCAGGTTAGGTGGACTGGCCATGCAAAATTGCTCATAAGTGTCCAGGGATGTGTAGGTTAGGTGGTTTAGCCATGGGAAATGTAGGGTTACAGGATAGGAGGTTGAGTCAGTGTGGACTTCTTGGGCCGAATGGCCTGTTTCCCCACAGAGTAGAATCTATGATTGTATGATTAAAATTTGAAGGATAATCTGTGTTACTTCCTGTTTTCTTGACAAGACACTTCTTCAATCTAATTAGGTGCTTAGCCTGCTTGATGTTGGACAGCAGTAATCTGCTGTAGTAATCTGCTACTCATCACAATAACATTGGAATGGTGACAATCATGCTTACTTTGACATCAAAGACTGTGCTACTGATGACAAAATCAGAAAATAATTGTGGCTTTAAAATCAATTTATTCAATTGAAGGCAGCAATGCCAGAATATGTTTTCGGTCAAGTTTCATTTTCTTCTTTGAATTACCTCATAAAATGTATAACAATAATGAATAAAGGAGTTTCAGTGCTTAAATGGACTTTTGATAACTTTAAACAACTTATACGATTTTAACAGAGTGTAGCACTTTCCATTTTTATCCAGTTAACCAAGTTGAGCCAAGTATCTGTCTAACTGATGATCTCTTCATTGCCAATGAATGCCAGACAAAATCTTTAAGCTTGCCAGCAGCAGTACTGTCTGTTAACCATACCCTTCCATCTGTTCTTGGCAATTTTATTTGTTAAGAGTGTTTCTGCTGAATTGTGTTTAGGATTTTAGTCTGGCTATTATATTAGTGCTTTCCAAGACTGACTACTTGAATGTCTTGATGTGGTGTTTCAATCCAAATAGAACATCACCTGCTGGGAATGATAGAGAATTACAAAGAGGATTTTTTAGTGGCCTAAAATAAAGCACACGTGTTGGAGTCCAGAAAATTGTCAGTCGCTTGGAACATTCCCTAACTGCAGTATTATTTTTATCCTTCTGCCTGCTCTAAACTAGAAGGTTGGATCTTCAGTATAGTGAGGTGTATTCAACAACAGCAGGATTGCATGGCTGATTCTAATGTTCTTCAAGCAATTCTTCCTTTTCATCAAACATGAAAAGTACTGAGCATTTAAAACCTCCATATTATGAGACTCCCAGAGCTGAAGCCCCTCCTGAGCTGACAGGTTCTCATTACTACCTGCTGTCTTGAACAGCTGGAAACTGCTGTATGCTTTATAACTTTTAAATGTTGAGCCCTGGCAGAAGTGTTCATACCAACCAGTAGTGATGTGGTTTGGGGCCAACATTGACCCCATTAGGTAAGTTGGAAATAGTTGCTTTTTTATTGCTTTCTGTGGGCAGGAGAAGCAAGAATTCATCTGCTGACTCATTCAGGAAACTTTGGGCCCTCCTCAACCGTGACCTTGACAACACTCCCATGATCACAGCATGACATGGAACAACTGCCAGCTGATCTTACTACCTTTCAATTGTTGACAGGTTGTAATTCTTACAGTCCTGTTAGGGATCATTAACATTTCAAAAGAAATCTAATGCCAAGTAATGCAATCAACAGAACTATGTCATAAAATTCTATTTTCCAAAAAAAAACACGGATTGGAATTTCACCGTTTGAAATTCAAGAATTAAAGCAAGCGAGTTTCTTTGTATCATATCCACTGTAATCTGGGGCGAATTATTGTAAAATCATGCAATTTGAAGCTCATAATTTTTTGTCACAAGATGTTGCATGAGTTGTTTGGTGAACCGTGCACCGAATGTGATGGACATTCTCGCTGCTAATGGAAACATCTGGCATCCAAGGCCCTAGCGCCATATCTAAAGGTCAGCTATATACTATACCACTTCAGATGCTGCAAGATAGGAGCATTGCCTCAGCCTCTGGGCAGTTGCATGAAAAATTTCAGCAGATGGCACACAAGCAATTTAAGCTAGCCTCTTGCATTATGGAGAAAGTTGACACTGGCAGACGAAGTAAAAGAGAGAAGGTCAACCCTCTTCCCTGCTGACTGCAACAGTTGAACATCTCTCCAGACCCAGACACTCCAGGCAGCGATAGCAGCATGGGTCAGTTCTGTCTCCATTGTGCAAAGGGGTAGGCAGCAATGCAGAAAGAAGGCCAATGATATCCTGTGCTCTGCAAAGGTAAGTGGCACCTTCTTCTGTCTGCTGCTCCATACACACAGGCATTACTCACTTCACCCTTCCCACTATAAACGTATTTCACCAAATGTAATGGACTACAACCGTTAGAATTACATCCAACATGTTAATTAATATTTTGATGACATTATTTGTACTTTATTAACTGAAATATATTTAATTGCAACAATGTTTCTAAACACTTGTAATCTATTTACAGTTAATAACAAAAATAGCTATATGTAAACCAAATCAACTACTTAATGAAGATTGCTGGTTTTATTGTATCTTTTACACGTCATGTCTATAAATTCTGTAGTTTTATGTCCTGAGCTGTATTTACTTGTCATATGTATGACTATTACCAAGTATGTGGATGTAATAACATCTCTTACTGCAAACACTTTAGTGGTAAACAGTCAAATAGTTTCAACTACTTTTCAAAAAGTTGAAATCTTATGTTAATTGCTTAAGATGGAACTTAGCCTTAACAAAATTAAAAGTAACAATGCCAGTCTCTGTTCTGTTGAGTCGATTGACCTCATCAAGTGTGTCGCCATGACCCCTGGTGCCTTAGGCGCTAGAGAGAGAGAAAAAAATCAGTTGTGATTATTCCTATCATGAAAAATACATTAATGGGTTGAATGCAGTATTTGTCATCTTAAACAAATATCAATTGACAGGTTGCTATTTATTGATATTTGCTACGCAGCCTGTCTGTCAGAATTTTATGGCATTGGCACACTATTGAATATTGACTGCACAGAAGATGAAAAGCACAGGACATTCTTCCTTAAACAACTTAAAGTGATAAGCATGTCACTTTAGAATTAGTATTTTTTTCTACATTCCCTCTTCTGTTTCCTACTACAGTAAATTGGAAGGTTTTCTTCTTGTTAATAATATCTTGTATTTTGAAAGTTGTTTAGCAGGTTAACGAACCATGGAAAGTTGTTAAATTCCAATTCCTGAATGTTGTGTGCACCATTTGGGTATATGTTTAATTCTAAGTTTGAAACTGAAAGGAATCTCAAATGTGACAACTTAAATGATTAATTATGAGTGACTTCATTTTTACATGATGATTGAATTCCACTCCTTAATTTCCATTCAGCAGGATCGCAGACCATGAATATAGTTTTGGGTAATACATGCGTCTAAACTCTGAGCAGAAAGTCAGAACTCACAAATGATACAGTCTGAGCAAATAGCTAAATAATCTTTAATATTGGATTTAAAAAGTTACCTAGCTGCTGATATGGAATCCTCTATCTGCTTTATAATTTCCTTTTACTAACGTTGAAGAGGTTTGGTTGGATTGTAAGAAACCAGATGCATCGGTAGTAAGTGACAGCAATGGTTGCAACTAAAGACGGCCTGTAACACTGAATGTTCAGAAAGATGCCAACTGCTTTACATATCAGGAAATTACAAATTCTAATCCATATGCATGAAGTCATATTGTTAATGTTATTGCAAAATAGAAGGATGAACAATTAATATTCCCCTTTCGAATCCGCCATCACTCCGGAAAAGTTGGGAAGAGTCCCAGTTCTTACAATTAATGCTCTTTGTTAATCGTATAAAAAAAGTGTGAGCACAGTAACAAGACCAATGGACGGAATCAGTGTTTAAAGCATTGATGCTTATATTAGGCTTCTAATATTAGTTGCATCTTCAATTTGAAATAGCTTAGGTTGGATTCTGAAAAAAAGCACATCGCAGGCATCAATTATGAATGCTAACTCTTAATGTGAATTGTTTCAACAGATACATTCATTTCAACTACATAGAGATACTAGAGCCAGAAACCTTTAGCGATCTTCCCAAACTGGAGAGATTGTAAGTGATGCATGGAGTACTGTTTAATCTACTATATGTGTGTTTTTGTCATAGAACTAACTAATTAACCTAATGGCTTTTTGTACTGTGCTGGAATCTCAAGCATTTCCAGTTTCACATCCCTCAAAGAAGTGGATTATAGTATATATCTAGTTTTAACAATGTTACTCAAAAGACACTTTGATATTTCTGTCCCGAGTAAAGGAATGCTCAAATGAAAATTCATGACCTGTCCTTATGTCAGTCTCCCCTCTTTAGTTAATGTTGAAGTGGCCCATAAAACTGTCACTAGAACTAATGTGACAATACTGTGGCTTTAAGAGGTGTATTTTGTCCTTTTTTTTGAAGAGAGGTTTTAAGGCAGAGGTGCAGAGCAGTCTACCAAGCCACTGGAGTAAATAGCTTGGAAGCCTTAAGTTTATTTTTAAAAAAACTTTGGAACAATAGGAGCAATCTGAATGGGTCTGGTCAAAGTCCCACAGAACCAGGATTTTTACTTTTAGTTTTCAATGGTTACAGTTGGGGTCTTGAAGAGGTAGAAGCTATTCTTTTCCTTCTGTCAGTTACAGCCAAAAGCTGGGGGTTCTCTTCCTGCTACTCGAGTTGCATGTGAGATAATCTGCTTTCTGAATTTGTCTTTTGCCAAGGGTGTGTTTATGGGATGTTGCTATATTGGAACAGTTAATTAATAATATTTACTATATCTATTATTCTGTTAAGTTTTCCAGTAGGGTTAAGTTATTCCAATTTCTTCTTTCTTTTGTTATACTTGTCAATGAATAAAGTGTCTTTTGCATTAAATCTGGTAGTTTGACCAATCAAATTACATTTACCTTTAAAATAAGAAAATATTGGAGTCTAGACTATTTTCTGAATATTCTGTAGGTGTTTGGTCTGGTCCGTAATACGAAGTTGAAAAAGGAGGCTGATATTTTTTCTCCATGTCCTGACCTGTGTGTTTGCAAACTTGAGTACATTGTGTGGGTGGATGTGTGTATTAAAAGGGTCAATGAAAATGCATTTCTCAAATATATAATTGAGAATCAGAGGATCGAGACAGTAGCAAGAGAAATAGGTACTTACTGTGAATGTTACCCAACTGATGTAGAAGTATCTCACCTAAGCTAAAGTAGAATTTCACTGAAAAAATTCCAGTTTAGCCATATAAAACAAAATGAAACAGGAAAATAGTACTTAAGAGCAGGCAGGAGTAAACCATTCAGCCTGTTGAGTTTGCTGTGCCATTCAATAAAACAATGTCTAGTCTGGTTCTGGTCTCAACTTCACTTTCCTGGACATCATAATCTTCCCTCTTCATCAACAATGGATTAAACTCTGCCTTAAATAAATTCAAAGACCTAGCCTCCACTGCTTTCTGGGGAAGGGAATTCACATCAAAGTCTCGCTGAGAGTAAAAATACTTTTTCACCACTATCTTAAAAGGGAGATCTTAAATTCTTAAACAGTGTCGCCTAGTTTAAATTTCCACCCTATCTGTGCTATGGTAAGATCATCCCTCTTTCTTCTAACCTTCAATGGGTATAGGCACAACCCGGTTCAACTTTTATTCACAAAGGAAAGCCTTCTTCTCAGGAGTGAGTTGAGTGAACTTTCTCTGAACTGCTTCTCATGCAATTATCTATTTTTTTTCAAATAAGGAAACCAAAACTGTGCACAGTGCTCCAGATGTGACCTCACAAACATGCAGCACAGTTACAATAAAGCTTCACTACTTGTATATTCAATTCCCCTTGCAATAAACAATAACATTGCATTTGCCTTCATAATTGCTTCTTGTCACTGCATACTAAAGTTTTTCTGATTCTTGAACCAAGGCCCTCTGTGACACCAAGTTCTGTAATCTCTATTTAAATAATACACTGCTTTTCTATGTTATCCAACAAAGTGAATAAGTTCACATTTTCTCAAATTATACACTAAAATTTTTGCCCCTTCACTTTAGCTGTCTATATACTTTTTCCACCTCTTCTTGACATTTTACTTTCTCCTACCTGTCTATGAATCATTGGCAAATTTAGCAACCGTACAGTCAAACCTTTCATCCAAGCCACTTTATAATTTATTTAATTGTTTTTATTACTTAAAACTTTCTGATTAAGATTACAGAATACATGCCTGTGTCTAATAAAATTCTTCAGAAACATTAATGAAATGTAATAATCTGAGATTCCTCATGAAGACAAATACACTCTTCAGACAAAAAAATTGCAATTACCCATAACTTTAAAAATATTGATGTTTAAAACTGCTTTTCTGTATAATTGAAATAATATTTAAGATGCATTTTTTCTGAAGTCAGACATTAGGCAGTCAGACTAGAATAATTAAACATGCAAAAATCTCTTGAGATTTTCAGCAACAGTGATCATAAGATATTGGAGCACTAGTAAGCCATTCAGCCTACTCCAACATTTAATGAGATTCTGGCTGATCTAATAATCTTCAACTCCACTTTCCTGCCTTGATTCCCTTACTCATTAAAAATCTGTCAATCTCATCCTTGAATACACTTAAGGATCTAATCACTACAGCCCTCACTGGTTTAAAAAAAAACTTCAGGTTCATTACCCTCTGGAGGTGTAATTCCTCCTTATCTCTGCTTTACATGATCAAACCTTCATTCTGAGATTATACCCTCTAGTCCTAGAATCTCCCTCAAAGGGAACGCTCTTTCCACATCTACATTTTCAGATCCTCTAAGAATCTTGTATGTTTCAATAAGGTCACCTCATTTTCCTAAACTCCAATGAGTATAAGTCCTAACTACTCAACATCGCCTCATAAAATAATACCTCCATACCTGCATTAACATAGTGAACCTTCTCTGAACTGCCTCCAATGCCAATATATCTTGCATTAGATAAGGGGACCAACACTATTAATAGAATGCCAGATGTCTAACGAGTGCCTTATATAGTTTTGGTATGACCTCCCTATTTTTAATACTCAATTCTCTTTGAAATAAAGGTCAACATTCCATTTTCCTTTCCTATTACCTGTTGAACTTGTATGGTTGGTTTTTGTGATGTATGCATGAGGACTCCCAAATCCCTCTGTGCTGTAGCTGTCAGCAATGTTCCTCAATTTAAATAATTTTCAGCTCATCTATTGTTCCACCAAAATAAATAACGTTACATTTTCCCACAGTATATTTCAACTGCCAGGCTTCTGCCTACTTGCTTACCTCATCTATACCTCTCTGCAGACTATTTGTGTTAACCTCACTACGTATGTTCCCACCCATTTTTGTGTCATCTGCAAACCTGGCTACAGTACATTTTCTTTTCTCCTCTAAGTCATTAATATATATTGTAAATAATTGCAGCACCAACATCTATTCCAGTGGCACTCCGCCAGACATAGATTACCATCTGAAAATGCCCTTTTCCCAATTTTCAGTCTCCTATAAGTTAGCCAATCCTGTATCTGTGCTAATATTGTACCTCCAACATCATGATTCTTATCCTACTAAGTAGTCTTTATGTGTGGCGCCTTATTGAATGCCTTCAGGAAATGCAAATATATTACATCCACTGCTTCCCCTAAATCTATCCCGTTTGTTACCTCCTCGAAGAATCTAATAAATTTGCTTGCCACAATTTCACCTTTGTAAAGCCATGCTGACTCTGCTTGATTATATTTTGTATTTCTAAATGTTCTGCTATTCCATCCTTCTGAAATAGAATTCAACATTATTCCAAATAATAAATGCTAAGCAAACTGGCCTATGGCTGCCTGTTTTTTTTTTTGTCTTCTTCCCTTTCTAAATAAAAGATGTAGAAGACATTGGCAGTTTTTCCATCTTCTGACACTTTTTCAGAGTGTAAGGTTTCTTGGAAACTACAATAAGTGCATCAATTATCTCTGTAACTATTTATTTAAATATCCTAAGATGCATTTATTTCCTGTCGTTTTGGCCTTATGATTTTTCTGTATTTTTTGGATTGTTATTTGTAACTTCTACTAAGAAGACTGTTGGAACTATTTTTCAACTTATCTGTTATCTCTTAGTTTCCCATTACAATTTCCCTTGTCCCATTCTATGAGGGCTGAATGTTCACTTGGTTTCTCTAAGCCTTTTTATATATTTAATGAAGCTGTTGCTGTCTGTCTTAATAAAATTTACAAGTTTTAAAACTTTCCCAACCATCTGACTTACCACTAACCTTTGCCACATAGTATTTGCAGTGCTATCTTTAACTTTCCTGGTTAACCATGGTTGGCTTAATCCCTTCCTAGAATCCTCTCTTCTCATTGGGATATGTCTTTTCTGTGAGCCACGAACTATTTTCTTAAATATCTTCTACTTTTCCTCAACCATCTTTGCTGCTAACCTCCTATCCCAGTCCAATCCTGTTAGTCCCCATTCCTTTGTAATTACCTTTAAGTTTAACACAGTTGTTTCTCACCCAAGTTTCTCCCTCTCAAACTGAATATTAAATTTTACCATGCTCTGATCACTGTTTCCAAGTAGATCTTTTAATCTGACGTAATTTATTAAACCTGCTTCACTACATATCACCAGAACCAAAATAGCCTGTACCCTGGTTGGATCCACGACATATTGTTCTAGGAAACAGTCCATAATACTCCCTATGAATTCTTCCTCATGGTGACCTCTGCCAATCTAACTTTTCTAATCTACATGAAGATTAAACTCACCCATGATTACTGTTTTTGCCTTTGTTACATGGCCCTTATTTCTCCTGATTTACTCTCTCTCCTAAAGTATAGCTAATTTTAGGGGAGTTACAGATGCTCCTACCAGCATCTACATTCCCTTTTTATTTCTTATCTCTGCCCATATGGATTCTTCATCTTCCAATTCAGGATCATGTCTCACTTTTATACTTAATCTATTCAGTACTAACAATGGTAACACACCATTCTTTCCTTCCTGCCTGTCCTTTCAAACTTTGATCTCCTTGTAACCCTGTCTCCATAACAGCTATAAGAACATACCCATTAACAAGTATTTGTGCTGTTAATTAATTTCCTTTGTTCCGAATGCTAGAATGCATTCTTGAATAGAAACATTGATTTTGGCCTTTTGCCAGTTTTTTTTCCCCCCGTTTAACCCTATTTACTATATTTATTCTATATTTGTACACTCTGCCTCTTCCTTTTCCAACCCTGCTTATTGTTGCCTAAATAGCTGTCCCATAATGCTTCCATATCCTCTTCCTTTATAAGCCAATGTTGCCTTTCACTCAAACTTTCTTCCCCCCCAATTAGTTTAAAGCCCTCTCTGCAGTCCCAGTCATTTGATTCATCAAAACACTGGCCCCAGCACAGTTCCAGTCCATCAACCTTTTAGAATTTTATTTTTATTTTCCATAATACCTCTTCTGAAACTCTAGCATTAAAAATACTTTTTTCTTGGAAATGTAACTTTATACAACAAAGATTTTTAAAAATGGGATTTCTAACTCAAACTAATTATAAGTCGTAAAATGAACTGGATTTTTTTCACACAATTTAGCATACACTGTGAAGGGTTATGTAATGAATAAAATACACTGCAAATCGTATCGAATAAAGACTGTTCATAACGTATCAAAGTGATCAGTGAGGCCTTATCGCTGGTGAACAAGCTCCTACAATCAGCTTCTAAAGGAAATGAAATGTAACTTTCCTGATGTTCGCCTTGGTCCCAATGACTATCATTCTGTTTGATTTGCATTTATGATTTTTTTAAGTAAAGTCAAATGACATTAAATTTCTACATATGCTCTGTAGATTAGTGCAATGTGTTTCAAGGCTGTTATCTGTTAGACATTGTCTTGTAAATCAGAGTATTATTGTAAATGTGTTGCTTTTCAGTTAGATAGAGGATATAGGTATGGTTTTATCTGCATGCAGGTATAAATATATTGAGAAAACACAACAAAATTATTTTCCTAAAGCACACAGACCACATGAATAATCAACAAAATTAAGCACTCTGTAACATTTATTTCCCAATTTGCATTATAGATTTGTCCACAACAAACACATTCAAATATTACAATTGTAAAATTGAAGTTACTGAAGTTTTTTTGCCGCATTTCTTTATGAGATGTGGACATCGCTGACTTGGCCAGCATTTATTGCTGGTCCCTAATTGTCCTCAACAAGGTTGTGGTGAGCTGCATTCTTGAACCACTGCAGCCCATGGGGGTAGGTACATCCACTGTGCTCTTAAGATGGGAGTAGGAAGATGAGATTAAAAATATATTTCAATTGAGAAATTCCAATCTACATGAAAAGGTCTTCTTCCAACATTGCAACAACAAAATACCTAGAGCCAACAACTAATGAAATGGTTCATGTTTTTAACAGGCTAAATTTCTTAGCAAAAATAAATGATTTGTTCTGGATGCCAATTACGTTGGGAGTAAAAAGGATCTTGACAGTGGTTGGAGGGGACTGTACCAAGGGGTAAGAAACTGTTGTCTGTAGTTGTGACTGAGGATTCTGAAGGCCTGTGTTGACAGCCAAAAGACTTCTGTTCGTGGCTAGATAGAAAATTAGTGAAGGAGGAGGAAGATCAAGTTGTCATGTTCCATATTGGAAACAATGACATAGGTGAATCCAGGAATGATGTTCTACTAAAAGATTTTCAGGAGCTAGATTTCAAGTAGAAACACAGAACATTAAAGGTAATCATCTCTGGATTGTTACCAGAGCCTCATGCCAATTGGCATAGGAGCAAGCAATTAAAAAATTAAATGTGTGGCGTAAAGACTGAAGTGGGCAGATGTTATTTCAATTGATAGGGCACTCAGGGAGTAATGAAATATTCCATTGAGAGGGAGGCCCGAAATGTCAGCTTTCCTGCTCCTCTGATGCTGCTTGGCCTGCTGTGTTCATCCAGCTCCACACCTTGTTATTCCATTGAGAAGATCTCCATTTAATTTGGGGTAGGATCTGTGTCCTGGTCAGTTATGAGTAGGGCTGTAAACAATGTTTTAAACTAACAGACTGGGGTGAGGTTGAAGAGAAATTTCAAAATTCAAAGAAAAAGATTGAGCTTTGGACCACTATAACAATGTAGATAAAGACAGAGTCAGAGAGAAAAGAATAGAGAGTTTAACAAAAAGTGTACCTCAATGAATAAAGTAATTGCGGGGAATAGAGGGAAACAAATGAAATTAACTTCGCCTGAATGTATAATTGGCAATAAGATAGAGAAGCTAATGACATAAATAGAGGTAAATGGTTTAAATTTAATTAGCAGCGACAGAGACACGGTTGGAAGCTGATAAATGTTAGGAAATAAACATTCTGGGATAGCCAGTATTTCAGAAAGACACACTTAATTGAAAAGGCAGAGTGATAATTTTGGCCATAAAGGATGACATGAAGATATTAATAAAAAAGATTCTAGCCTCAAGAGACAATGAAGTAGAATCAGTTTGAGTGAAATTTAAGAATAGCAAAAGTCAGAAAATACTGTTGGAAGTAGTTATAGCTCCCCTAACTTTAGCTACACCAAGGATAGATCATTAAACAAGGAATTACTAGTATCAAAGAAAATGTAATAAAGTGTAATAAAAAATATTTGGAGAAGTGGGGAGAGACATTGAAGTCTTCAAATAGACAAGGACAATCAAATCGGCAAAGATGGTCCAGAAGATGGTAGATGTGACAGTTTCCTGGAGCAATGTATTGTGGAACTGATTAAACATAGTATTTGATAATGAAACAGACTAATAATGTCAAAAGCTAGAAGATCCACTAGGAAATAACAGGGTTTACTAATGTCCTTTAGGGAAGGAAATTGCCATCCTTACCTGGTCTGGCCTACACGTGACTCCAGACCACAGCAATGTGGTTGACTCTTAACTGCCCTCTGGGCAATTAGGGATGGGCAATAAATGCTGCCTAGCCAGTGATACCCTCGTCCCATGAATGAATAAAAAAAAAGTGGCATATTGGCCTTTATTTCAAGAGGTTTGAATTATAGGAATAAAGAATTCTTGCTGCAATTCTACATGATTTTAATAAGACTATATCGAGAAGATTGTGTGCAGTTTCAATCTCAAGATTGAACAGAACAGGAACTTGGAAGCAATGCAACAAGGTTCACTAGACTGGTTCATGGGATGAAGGGTATGCACTATAATGAGAGAGTAAGTAAATCAGATTCACAATTTCCTCATATGAGAAGAATCAGAGATGATCTCATGGAAATGTACCAGATTCTGAAGGAGTATGACAGGATGGATGCTGAGAATTTTCCACTGGTGAGGGTATCTTGAACAGGGGACCACAGCCTCAGTCTAAGAGCTGATCATTTACAACTGAGAACAGGAGAAATTACTTCACAGAAAGACATGAAATCTTTGGAGTCATCTAACTTAAAGAATTGTAAATTCTCCACCATTCAATACTTTCAAGTTTGGGATAGACGGATTTTTGAGCTGTCATGTAAAAATGGTTTAAGGAGAGCAGCTTGGAAAACATGGTTGAAACTCAAATTAATCATGATTGGACTGCACGGTGAATCAGGCTTTGACTGCCCTAATGGCTTACTCTTGCTTTTTATTACTGTGCTTTTAGACACATTAGTAGGTAGATTATTAATCACACTGTAAAACCTGTAAATTTGATTTTTGATTTTGCGAATCTATTTTATTAAACTTCATCATAGGCAATCACTCACTAATGAATATGATTGTCCACCTAGGAAATACCATGTCACTAGTCATAGGTTCCGTAGGTCATTGTGTGAACATAGAACAGTACAGTACACAAACAGGCCTTTTGGCCCAACACCGCTGCACTGATGAACCTAATCCTAGAACTGCATCTTTGACCATACATTTGGCAGGTGTTTCTGAGAGTTGTTGTTGGACTCGGCCTTCACACCTTTGGCATTCCTTTCTGTAGTTCCTTTTCTGTGCTTCTTCTTGCTGATGGATGTTTTGAAAGAATTGTGTCCCTTCATACAAGAGTTTCATCCAAGTTGGTTTCTTCTGAACAAGGGTCTCCCATCATTGACATCTACATTGTATTTCTTGAGGTAAGCCTTGAGGGAATCTTTGAAATGCTTCCTTCATTCTCCTTCCGTTTGAGTACCTTCATTGAGCTGGATGAAGAAGATTTGCTTTGGTAGTTGGAAATTCAGGCATCCTAAGCACTTGGCAACCTCAGCAGAGTTGGTTTTAGATGATTGTGGCCTTGATGCTGGTGCTTTTAGCTGCTTCAAAGATGCTGATGTCAGTACACCTGTCCTCCCAGCAATTGTGGAAAATTCATCTCAAACAGTGTTAATGGTACTTCTCAAGGGTCTTGAGGCAGTGTCTATTTGTAATCCATGGTTTGGAACCACATCCAAGATTCTGAAGGATGCCTGCATTATACACAAGAATCTTGGTATTGGCAAGGATCAGCATGAATGTCAGAGTTGTCGAAGATTCTTATCCTTAGCCATCTGAAGGTGGCACTTGCAAATTGGATGTAATCAATGCAAATGCAAAGAAATCCCTGCATCAATGTCAGCCTTAGATGAGATGTAGCTTCCCAGGTAAGCAAAATGTTTCATGTTTGGGAAGAATTTTTTGATCTTAATGGAGGGTTGGACTGGATGGTAAAGGATTTGGGGTAAAGGACTTGCAGCTCCTTAGCCTTTTCAGTCCACCATTGTTTCTTGATTTCCCTTGTTCTTTGTCACTCCACTTTTGGTGTTGATGAGTTCTCCTCTTTGCCTCACTGGTGATGTTGTTTTGCCACAGCTTTCCTCTTGCCATTCTTTGGTAAAGGATCTGAGTCTTCTTGAGGTTAAGGCTGAGACCAATTCATCAGTAAACCAAGAGAGCAGAGATGACATTATCATCTACATACTGAAATTCCGCAAGTGAGGTTGGTGTCATTATCATCTTGGATTTCAGCCAGTTGGAAGCTTTCTCTTGACAAGATGAAGAATGGTCGCAGTGAAAGTGGAGAAGGTGTGGGGAAAGGGGGTATGGAGGTTGGAAGCTTGCAATGATTTGACCCCTGTCTTGACCGCAAAGGATTGTGGTCAAAAGCCACACCTGCTTTCAGGAAGGATTTTCTCAGAAACTGGGAGAAGCATCTAACGTGGATTTAGCCAATTGTCTTCCTGGTGATGGAGACTAGCAAAAGTCCTCGGTAGTTTGTATAACCCTTTTTGTCTCTTCCATTGAAGACCATGATGATGGTCAGGTATTTCTTCTTTGCCCCAGATTTTCAGTAATGGTTGATGGAGATGATGGGTAACATCTGCTCCTCCATATATGAAAATCTCCATTAGAATCCCATGCAGTCTTGTGGTTTTTTCATTCTTCATGTGTCTAATGGAGGCTTCAACTTCGGCCACACTTGGTGGGAGTCGAAGATCTTTTTTGATGGAAGTTGGGAGATTTCCTCAAAAATGTTCTCATCAATGATGGTATTGTGGTCTAGGAGTTCTTAAAATTTTCTTTTCATTGGAGGCTGAGGTTTTCCCTATCTCTTAAAAGGATTCCATCCTCACTCCATACCACTTTGAGGCTGAGAGTGTTGCCATGGTGACACCAAAGAAACCCCTGGCATGTGCATGTCAGCTCCTTAGCATTCTCAGTCCACCATTGGTTCTAATTTCCCTTGTTCTTCTTTGAAACTGCAGTTTTGCTGTTTGATGAGTACTCCTCATTGCCATGCTGTGATGTTGTTTCATCAGGCTTGAAGAGCTTTCCTCTTATTAATGAGGACTTGGACGATGTGGTCATTCTCATTGAACCAGTCTTGGTGGTTTCTGGTCTTGTAGCTAATGGTTTATTCATAGCACAAGATAATACAGCTCTTTCTAGATTTCCTCCACTCCGCTAAAATTGATACTTTGAAGATTTTTGAGAAGATATTGTTGGACTTTCGCCAGTCTGCTCTGCGCTTGAAGCTCCTCAAGGTTGGGCTGTTTTCTGAACTGTTTCTTTGTCTTAACTGCTTCTGGTGGCATTTGGTGGACATTGTATGAGCCAACGATCTGTCCAGCAGTCATTTGTACTGGTCATTACATTGGTAATGAGGACATTGTTTTAGTCTCAGGATTGGACAATGACGTAGATAATCATGTGCCAATGTGTTGGTGATGACCAACCTGTGATGCACATTTGGTGAGCAGGAGAATCCCATTGGAATTGCAATTCTTGATTCCTTCCTTTCTGATGGTTCCATTCCAGAGTTGGGTGTGCTTTCAAATCCTGGTGTTGGAGTTCTCCAAGGAAATTTTATCTTCACTGGAGACATTGGTGAGTACGGTGTCCAGGGTGGAGAAGAAGCCTTCCTTGGACTCATCTTTGACGTCAAGACTTGGAATCAGGCACTCACAACTGTTGCCTATAGGTTTTTCGCAAGTTGTTGATGGAGGTTCATGAGGTAATCATTGATGCATCAGGAAGCTCCCAGAATTGGAATGACAAGCTCGTTCTCTTTCTCATGAGATCTGCCTATCTCAGCCTTGAATATACTTACCCAACCAGCCTTGACAAACTTCTGCACTAAAGAATTCCACAGATTCATTAACTTCAGAGAAGAAATTCTTCCTCAGCTCTGTTTTAAATGTGTGATTGTTTGACCTGAGATTATGCCTTCTAGTCTTAGATTTTCCTAGAAGGGGAAACAACCTCTCTGCATCTATTATCACATGTCCCTTACGAATCTTTTATATATTAGTAAAGTTTCCTTTCAATCTTCTAAGCTCCGATGAGTACAGGCCCAACCTATTCAACCTCTCCTCATAAGAAAATCTCTCCATGCCCAGAGTCAGCCTAATGAACCTTCTCAGGACTGCTTCCAATGTCAGTATATCTTTCCTTAGATAGGGAGACCAAATTTGTTTATAATATTCCAGATATGGTCTGACTAGTGTCTTGTATAGTTTTAGTAAGACCTCCCTTTTTTAAACTCCATTCCCTTTGGAATAAAGATCAAGAGTCCACTTGCCTTCCCTGTACCCACTGAACTTGTATGCTAGATTTTTTTTGTGATATATGCATGAGGACTCCTAAATCACACTGTACTGCAGCTGTCTACAGACTTTCTCCATTTAAATAACATTAAGCTTTTTTTTTCCTGCAGAAGTACAAAACCTTACATTCTCCCACATTCTTTACCATCCACCAAATTTTGCCTAGTCACCTTTTTATGTCCCTCTGTAGACTCTGACATCCTCACTTGCCTTCCCACTTATTTTTGTGTCTTTCGCTGACTAGGTAATAGAACAATCTTTTTCATTGTCCAAGTCATTAATATATATTCCAAGTGAATACACATCAAACTTAGCTTAGGGTTTCACTCCGTCAAGGGGTATCAAAGTGATCAGTCACAAATCTGTCAGAATACATATAGGGGAGGTTAATTTCCTATTAAACTTAGACTATTAATCCAGGACTCAAGTAATGTTCTGGAGAGAGATAGTAGGAACTGCCGATGCTGGAGAATCTGAGATAACAAGGTGTAGAGCTGGA